AAATTGGCTCTATTAACCCACTATCATTCGATAAGCATAAAATTCTGTAAAATAATATTTCATATTTAATAAATTATATTTATAATAAAATATTAAAACATATATAATAATGGAATGTTTCATACTTATATGGCCGCACCCAGAGAGGTACATGTTCATCTTGCCATATTTTTTGTAACATTGAAAGTAATTGTGAAGCAAGAAGTTCTTGTCGAAGATCATCACCACATTTTACAATAACAGCAAGAAGTCTCCAAGATGCCAAATGACCATATGGACTGGATGACCTTATACGACGTTGTTTTAATTCCCATGGTTCCTTGAGAACAGCTGCTGATGGATCTTCTGGATCATGATTAAAGGTTGCACTAGGTGCAGCAGCCATTTCACTTAATCGCCTCTTTATATCACCAGGTACAAATATTGGTTCTTTACTATCTGATGATTCTTGACTTAATTGAGATATTGTATCTCTATCTTTTGGCTTACGTAATTGTAAATACTGCATGGAAAAAAAAATTAATAATTTATATTTTCAAAACTAAAAAAGAAATAAAAGAAATCATCATATAAATAAATACCTGTTGTGTGATTTCATCATCTTCTTGACTCCAACAATCACTAGGATCATCATCGGGAAAATTAAATGCGACTTCTGTATTTCTAACCGAATATGGAGAAATATTTTTAATTGGAGTTTGTCTAATCGGCAGCATATTCTGTTGCGTTTCTGAAGCGGATATGTTTGATGAACCCATTACATTAGATTGTTCACCTCCAGTTAAATTTTCTTCAGATTTAGTATGCCTCAATGAACATCCCACTATTTTTGTCGGTACAGGTGACGTATAAATATCTTCTACTTCTAACACTTCAACATAAATTATGTATGGTGCCTATATGTGTTAAGATATATTAATATATATTCTCGAAAAGAAATTATTTTTGTTATAACAAATTATTAGATGTTTAATATTTTTCACCTTATCCTTGCTATTAAGGACAGCAGCATATTGTGGTGGCACTCGTACGATATGATGTGGTATTGAACTGTGCAAAGGAAGCCACACCCTTGCAGGGAGATTCAAATTGAGAGTATTAAGTTCCGCTATTAATTGAACAGTTTTACTTTCTTTTGTTGGAATAGTTCCAAGTAATTTACCAATTGATATTAATGCTTGTATAAATTCAAGTTCTGGAGCAAGACGTGGCGCCTATAAATATGAAATTGTGTATAAATTAACATAAGATAATGAAATGAATAAGATAATAAAATTTACAATAATTTAAATAAAATTGTTAAATTACATTGCAAAAGCAGTCGGTTTTTTGTCCTCGTAAATCATTTACCACACCTTGGCAGGAATAAAAACAGGTACAACCATTATCAAATGCTCGACCAGAGCTCAGGTCCCCAAGACTTACTTTATTTATTGTACCTTAAAATAAATTGTAAAAGATGATAATTATAATTTGTATATGTGCGAATACATATATAAATTTCTACTCTTATTATTTTATAATAAAATAACAAATCATTTGCATTCACCGGAATGGCTACGACGTAGAGTTTGAAATAATCCACTGGCATCAGATTGAGATCTTTGGTGTGTCTTTTTATTAGGAGATGTAATATTTTGCATCGGAGTTAATGATAGCGGTGCGGGAGTTTGTAATCCAGTTACACGTTTTTTATTCTCATTTCCTTTTGGCCTAATGTTTGCATAAAAAAAAAGAAATATAAAAATAATTTGTTTATAATGTTTTTTCTCCAAGTTATATACGTATATATGTTTTTTACCTGAGTTCATCTGAGAGAATAAGATTTTTCAATTTGGTCCCATGAGACTTTTTTTTTGATGGCAAATGAGCATCTGAACTATATGCATCTAATAGCCAGGCACATTTTAATGAAAAATCAGCCGACTGCCTACACCTTATGAACAAATAATTACAGTATTTTAATTATTTATAAAATTTATTTTGTTCAAGTACCTTTATCTTTTTCTTACTTACCTATGAACAAGATATGGGTAAAGAACTTCTGTAACATCATGAAGTTGTATATACATCACAACTAATTGTGGTAAATAAAAGTCCACATCATTATCTGGGAAACTAAACATCTTGTTTCCTAGAAAATTTTACATGCACTTTATAATGCATTTTTGAAACTAATTTCAAAATATTTTTTAATATTATGTACATTTTATTCATGAGATATTTATTTAGAACAAATCTAACTTAATATTGAATAACTTAATACTTCAAAATTAATAAATGTAAATCATATTTAAAATTATATTAAATATATATATATATAAAACTAATATAAATGCTTACCAAGATAGCTTTGAACGCCAGGCTCTTTAGAATTAAAAAGATAAGAAATTGCCATAGACATATCAAAAATCTGGCTTTCAAACAATCTAAGCAAACATCCTTCAGATGGTTTTGGTTGTACCGTCTCTTGCCTTCGGCAAACAACACCAGTTTGCTTTTTTACAGCTGCCTCATTAGTTTCGGATTGCACTGCAGTCCCGCAACACAAAGTCATAGCCGCGCCGGCCAGTTCACTCTGTTTATCGTTCACTGGCAAGACTTCCATGGAATTTTGGAAATCTCGCGTACCAACTGTCACGCCCACATCGGTGCATCGTTGTTCGTCCTGTGTATACTCATGGCTCTCGAATTCGTTGACTATACAGACGTTATTGGAGCACGTTTCTTGCGAATCGTGATTACCACTGTTTTCGTGTTTATGTGGCTCACTATTATCACCACCCTTTTTCGACGAAGGTTCACTCAAGTGCACCAGTTCCACAGGTGACACTTGCACCGACACCGTCACTGAATCCAAAACACTAGTTTCTTCGCCATCCACTGTATCCACGCTATCCATGTCACCTGGTTGGGATAACGAGGAGTCGAGACTTTCACGGCTATGCAGATGATCAACGCTCGATTCTCTAGTGGCAACGTTTGTTGCGTCGCTAGAACCGCTATCGGAACCGCAAAGTATACCCGAGTCGTCGGACCCGAGACTGGCAAGATCTTCGCGTTCCCGGCTGCGCGCTTTGC